AAGCAGATAAACGGATCTGTAATTCACAGTGCCACCAAGGAGTCTCCCTCACCAGGGCCGGGGGCCTGGTGAGCACAGGAGTTCTTAATGGCTAGGCTGGACAGTTAGTTACAAATCAGTTTCAAACCCCAATGTTCTGAAATGTCCTTTCACCCCTGAATCCTAGCAGCTATGTGCCTTTAACACCCAGGACAGAGACATTAGTGTAAGACAGTACTCAATGAACTTCTTTGCTGGATCCTGTGCAAACGGATCTAGAGGAGGTCCTGTCTCTCCAGCGAGAATTACGTGACAGGAAAACAATGGGAATGCAATCCTAGGTGCCCTCTCCTTAGTTCTTGCTAATCCAGGTGTCTGTGATTTAAAAAGAAGAGTTCCTTAAACATTGCGGAATTCTTATTTTTAATATAATTTATCTTGCTGATATAGCAAGTCAAGTTTATAAAGAAGATGCATTTAGGAATAATCCTAAAAGATAAAGCAGGTTTACAACCCTGCGCCACATGAAACCCTATTTAGAGGCTTTTCTTTTTAATACACATTTGCGTCTTGACCTTTTGTTTTCCTCAAATATTTCATCTCTGGGCCCCATCCATTACAGGGTTACCAGGAGGCAAATTTTATCTACATAAATATTCACATGAAAATAGTAACTTACAAAAAGGAAAAAAAAATAAGGCAGCTTCATAACACAATTCTTCTTTTACAATTTTAACAATATAACTTCTCCCGTTCAGAATAAATATACACCCAATGTATGGAGCAGGATTCAAAGTGGATAGTGGTGTGAGGTGCTTGTACAGTGTTATCGCTTGGGACCCGGAGTCCTGGGGGAGGCAGTGGTGGTCTTCTTAGACATGGTTGGGATTTTGGAAGGTTTGGTGAGCCCTCTTCTGGAGCTGCCCTGGCCCCCTGCAGCGCTGCTCTCAGAAGTGTCTGAACAAGCCGACTGAGTCTCTAGAAGGTCAAAGTCAGAGGCATCACTTCCTCTCCGACTGCTGGCTCGACTCCCCGCCCGGCTCCCGGCCCGACTCCCAGGACGGCTGGCGGACTTCTTAGGATCTGGAATTTAAGAGTAAAGATTTGATGGAGAAGGCGTGGTATGGAAACATAAGTGACTGGAGGCCAAGGTGTTGCTGCTAATAGCTCTTGATTTGCTGAGTGGCCTTAGGAGAAATCACAGCCATTCTGGATCCATACTTTTTTTTTTTTTTTTTTGGTTTTTTAGAGACAGGGTTTCTCAGTGTAGTTTTGATGCCTTCCCTGGATCTCGCTCTATAGACCAGGCTGGCCTCGAACTCACAGAGATCAGCCTGCCTCTGCCTCCTGAGTGCTGGGATTAAAGGTGTGCGCCACCACTTCCCGGCCCAGATCACCTTTCAAAGCTGCTTAGACACCACAGCTCACGTAGGTGAACTGATGAGGTTGTAGCAAATGTGAGCAGATGGCAAATGGAGGTGCAGGTGGGAGGGGAGAAGCCAGGAGGCCAGTTTTCAGGTTCCCAGGAGGAGCTGCTGTTAGCCAGCTTCCCCTTTCCCAGTTCACCAGCAGCCATAAAAAACACAGTGCATTAGGAAAGTTGTTAACAGTTTGCTTCAGCTCTGGGCTGGCCCTTCTTCCTTTCCCTCTCCCAGCTCACCATTGCTGATGCACACAAGGGCTCCAGTGTGCAGTGCAGGAGGTTAGAGTTTGCCGCACTGACAAGAAAAGAGCAATGGCTGCCTCCAGAGTGCAAGTGTCTTTCTGGGCAGGACACCGAGTGCTCTTCCCAGCACCGACTCCTGAGAGGCCGATGCTTGCCCAGTTCCCCCACCCCCAGCCCTGTGCATGGTGGGTCCTTACCTGCCCGGTTAGTTTTGGCACCTGTGGAAGCTGGAGAAGAACTATTGCTGGTGTCGCCAGCGAGGGATGTTCGGCTAGAATGAAAAGTTGGTGTTGGTCGTTTTAGCTTGCTGCCTGCTGCTGGAATAACCTTAAAAATAATAAAAAATCATATTTACTTGATAAAATCTTTAAGTATGTAATTATATAGTCGATTTAAAAGCCTCTTTGTAGACAATCATTTGAAAAAGCAAATTAAAAGTCCAGGAAAACAAAGATTTTTTTTTTTTTTTTTTTTTACAAAATGCTTTAATCATGGATTTTTAAAATATTCTCAAGAGGTTTCAAGGTCCAATTAAAAATCTGAGTGTCTTCTAGTGCCTGTTATTCCCTAGGAATGGCAACCTTTCGATGTCTGTTGTCCTGCTGATAAACTTCCCTAGGAATATGAGAAGATCTTCAAGTAGTAAGACACTACAGTTACAAATGAATGATGGGTTACAGGAGAAAACCAAAGAGCCCTGTGCACCGGTGTGCTGGGCCGCACTCTAAGGTACACACAGCGGCTGTAGTCAAGATCTCTCATGAGCACCTCTATGTCTCTGCTTCTCCCTCGGGAGATCTTGTCCCCTTGTTCTGAACTGAGCCCACACTGTCCCTGCACAGTGACCTTCCTCCCCAAACACACGCTTAGACCATGAACGTCAGGGCTATGGTGAGAGGGCCATCTCATCAGAGAGGCCTCACCTCTCAACACCAATGGAAGCTTCCTTCTGCTTCTGCATCTCCATTTCTAAGGATAGCATTCTTCACTGCTTGACATACAGATATGCTTATTGCCTTTGTCTCACATTAAAGCATCAGTTCCATAAAAGCAGAAACTTTTGAATTATTATGTACTCTTACATCTTAGCACCTACAACTACGTGGCAAAAAAGAAGGACTCCATACCATCTTGCTGAAAAAACAATGCGCAGATGCAAATCTTAACCTGAACAAGACCTGTCTTTTATGACTGCTGTTACTGGTAGGAGCTACATTTCCTTACTCACATAGACTTAATGTAGAGAAAGAATATTTTAAAGTCTGTTTTAAAATATTACTTATGACATGGTATACAATTCCAATTTTTCCTTGAAGTAAGTTGGGTAAATTGTTTTCCAGAACCTTTAAGATGCTTCTATAGATAGGAGGATAAAGCACCCCATCTCATTGTGCAGGGTGAATTTCTTCACAAAGGAAAAGCAAAAGCGACAGGAAGTGATTGACACCCAAGCAAGACCTCTCCTGGCCACCCAGGAGAAGGAGCACCAGTTCCAAGAGCTATCCTTCCTGAGCACCGCTGCCTGGAGCTCACAGCTGTGGCGCCTCTGGACTGGGGTTCTAAGTTAGTGCCTGGCCTGGCTACAGTCTCAATGAGTAAACAACTTGAAAAGAAAGATTACATTGTAAAATAAAATACAAAAGAACCATTTCAGAACCCTATGGAGTCTGTTGCTAGCAACACCGACACTTTTCACATTTAGGATCTCAATGGAGCTGAAGCCATCACAGAGGGAAAAAAGCAAGGGCAAGTTAAATATTGGGTTCTCAGGCAGTCAGCCAGTGCACAGTTCTTAAGACCATAGCCCACAGTTCTCAGATGGAGTTTGAGCTGGGAGTGGGATAAGTCCTTAAGTGGCAGTTCATTCACAGCCCCTGCCTTCTGTGCCCGACCAAAGCAACACTGCTTGGAGGGTTGGAATTCAACATTCTCTGCAGGGGCTGAGAGATGCAAAGTATGCCGCTATTACACAACCTCTCTGCCCAGGTTTTGCTTCAGTTTTTTTCTTTTCCTCTTTTGAGACAGGGTCTCAATACATGGTCCACACAGCTTTGATGTCCAATCTGCTGCCTCAGCCTCCCAAGTGCTGGGATTATAGGTGTGTGTGCTACAACATCCAGCCATGTTTTTTTTTTTTTTTTTCCTCTAACACTGTTCTTCTAAATGTGTTTAGGTATTTTAATGGCTGTATGTGAACATGTTGGTATGTGTATTCAAATCAAAGCTACAGTAAACCAGGTACCTAAGCCAAGGAACCAAGAAGGTAGAGCTGGAGCCCCAGAGCAGTGGTCACTTGTAGGGAAACTGTGCTTGGCTGGAGTAGAGAGCACCCATGCCTTGGAACCATGTGGCAGCACCAACCACCCTGGGGAGGGATCTTGCAAATCATCCTCCTGTTCTAAACACATAGAACATTGGTGAACATGCACTGTGGTTTAATTTCAAGTGTTTGTAACTCGTCTGCATAGCTGACATTTGGAGATTCCAAGAGACCTAATTACAAGTCATATTAACAAGTAAACAGCCAGGAATGACTGTGATCAATCATCCTGAACAAATGTTATGCTTAAAAACTTATAAAGCTGCTAAACAATCTTGTTTTAGGCACCTCTTATTCATCTCCAATTTTAGTGAATCCGAGTTAGAAACTCCTGAAAACACTTGGCCAACTTGATCAATCAGCTGTGTCAGCAAGCATCCCAGAGATAGAAGAGACATTGGGCTCATGTCAGGAAAAAGAGCTGGGCAGGTTCTTGGCATGAGTGAGGGCCTCTTCGTGACTGTGTCCCACTCAGCAAAGCCATACTCTACCTCAGGACTGAGTAGCTGGAGGTCAGGACAATGGCTGTCCCTGACATGGGTGCCAGCTTTACTGTTTACCAACCAGGGTTTGTCATAACAGCGAGAGAGCTGAAGTGGAGTCTGTGAAAGGGAGATCCAAAGGGAAGGGCAGAAACAATTGAAAAATGGAACAGAAAGGGGAGTAAATTGGGGGGGTGGTGAGAAGACACTAAATTTTAAAGAAACAGAAAACAAATAAAATAGACATAAGTCCAATGGGCGGAGATGGAGCAGGTAGAAGGTATTCTTCACGTGTATCTCACTGTACCAGCAAGCCCATCTGTCAGCTCCAGTTGCACAGACAGTACCTGGACTTTCCAAACCAGTGACCTAACTCTGGACAAACTCCAACTCAAACTAAGTAAGAAGAGAGAACCGTTTCTGATGTAACCAGCCTGAACAGGAATTTTACAAAATCCCTCAAAGGTGGTAATCTGTGCACTGTGGGGATCTGGGCAGAGTTGCTCTATGTTTTTACGTTCTTTTCCTTGCTAGGCTTTTCAAGGTCTGCCCATCAACGAGCATCTACCAAGATAGGAATAGGGAAGAAGAGCACAAGGGAGGTCAGCACACACCTTGGTCCCGCTGGCTGGGGTGGCTGGAGAAGAAGGCATGGACGTACAGCTGTGATTACTCTGACTAGCACTTGAGCTGGAGCGGGTGGGAGAAGCAGCTCGGGAAGATGGTTTGGATCTTCGACCCCGTGATCGGAATGGAGTCATCCCCTGGGATGCCCCTTCTGGCAGGATGAATTTTTCTCGAAGTTCTATGTTAGTTCTGCCTCGTGCTAAAAAGAGAACAAATACACACACATGCATATACTTAGTTATCTTAAAATGTATCTTGGATGGTCATACAGCTGCTTGACCCCATGATACCAGTAAGCTGTGCATAGGTTTTATACCACCTATGGCTTCATGTTTTGAACAGCTTTGTCATGTTCTGCCCCCAGCAGACACACTGGCTAAGATCTTAGCTTGCTCTAACAAGCCTATCAACAGAGGGCCATCCACTCTGCTGTCATCATCTGGCTTTGCTGCTGTCCCCTGGGGTAAGCACACGGCAGCTGCTCAAGGAGACATAAGTGCAACATGACACAAGCCTCTGGTCTTAACCAAACTCCTGTTTTCTCTCTCATAGACATGTGTACTTTTTGCTGAATTTTTACAAGATACATGGTAATGAGATAGTGGAGAAAACACATTAATGGCATCAAGACTCTTCCATTTGAATTCTGTCAATAATAATCCTAAAGGAAGGGGTTCAGAAAGCCGGGATAGTAGAGATAAGGACAGAGTCTTTAAGAAGCAAACATGTAGGGAGAGAGAAAGACCAAGACATGCACAAAACTGAGAGTGAGAATCCGTTAGGTAAAAGCTGAAAGAGCAGTTGCAAGTAGGGGAGGAACTGAAGGGCGAATCAGGAAGAGCACTGAAGGCAAACAGGGGCTGCCTCCTCGCTTTCTGGAGCTGTAAGACCAGAACTTCAAATATGGATTTAGTCAGAGATATCAAGTACAGTCAGAACAAATGTTGATGTCAAAGACACTGCTAATTTAAAAGAAATACATTTTCTGGAAAAGATCCTTTGATTTCTCACTGGACAGTGCCCTGCAGTAACCTCAGACCTGTTCGTCCACTATCAACTGTTCATTTGAAGAAGATATTAAACCTATCTGGCAGGTGGTGGTGGAAGCCTAATTGAGTAAACATTTGATAGTTCCTTTCTAAACACACTGCCTGAGGGGAGGAAAAAATCAACAGAGGATACAAGAGGAAGCCTTGGGAATGGCAACTAGTTGGGGACAGCCACATTTAAAATGTTTTAGAGAAGGCTATAGGCAGGTGGTAGCATGAACCAGCTACTTCAGACTGAGGCAGGGAGGATGCTTCAGCCCACGAGTTTGAGACTAGCTTGGGCAAACAGAGCAAAATCCCATCTCAACACACACACACACACACACACACACACACACACACACACACACACACACACACAGGACTGACTATCTGTATTAATGGAGTGATAAGATTATGTTCCTCCCACACTATAATTTATACAGTGTTACCACATGCAATACTATACTTGATTTTCATTAGCATCTCTATCCCACTAGACAAAGAAATGAAGTGCCTACAAAGATTGGTCAAATCACAGCAGAGGCAGCCTGTCTATTAGCTATTCTCTCTACCCTGCCTCCAAGCCATTCCTGGCCATTCTCTTTATGACATCATCCACATCAGCTTATCTCCACTACGCCATGGCATTTGCTAGGTAAAGGTCTACTTCGTAAGGGGACCTTCTTGCAGTCCCAGAAGCCATGTAAATGCCAGGTATGGAGGGGGCATTTGTAACCCCAGCGCTAGGCAGAGGAGGCGGCAGATCCTGGGGGCTCACTGGTCAGTCAGTCTAGCCCAAACAGCAAGCTCCAGGGTTAGTGAGAGAAACGCCTGAGGAAGACATCCCAATGTCAGCCTCTGGCTTTTACAAGCTTCAGCACACCCGCACTCCTCCTCTAAGAACAAAAGTTGCTCATTCTTACATCCTACAGCAAGCACATCACCGTTAACATACTGGCATGTCTTTGTTTCTTTGAGCAACTATATATATACTTTTAATACAAAGGTATCAGGAATATTTCTCCATTTCCTATGTGTCTTATGTTAAACTTCAACTAACTTTAAAGTATAATTTCATCATATATATGCCACTTTACTGGTTAAATGTTATACTTCTAATTTGCTAATAATTTTAAAAATACAGTATCCAATACTGTGACAACTTCTAAACTATTTTTGTACATATTCTGACGTTTCCTAAGGATAAATTTATACAAGCAGCTTTGCTGGGGGAGAGAGACATTTCTCCAGAGGTGTGTGCTCCTTTAGTAGCCCTAACTAAACTCTGGTTCAGTGGGCTCACACATGAACACGAGTGCACACCCGTTCAGAGTTCTCAGCCAGCCAAATATTTTTTAGATTATGAGTGTCTTGTCTGCATGTATGTATAAGTACCGCCTGCCTCTGCCTCCCGAGTGCTGGGATTAAAGGTGTGCACCACCACCACCACCACCTGGCTTCATCTATTTTTTGATGAAGGGTTTTACAATGTAGCCCAAGCTACAATTCTTGATCCTCCTGCTTCTGCCTTAATAACTGGAATTATAGGCAAACGCTAGCAGGCCCAGCAAGTAACTTGTCTTCTTGATGTTCACGTCCCTCCAACTTACTGGCACACCCTCCAGCCCTTGGTGCTTGCTTCTAGCACTGTTTTGATGTGACAAGAAAGTCCACTGGTGGTAGTTACTGAAAGCTGCTGGTAAGTTCTATTTCAGTCAATGGGCAGAAGTTGATTGCCAAGCTCCAAGGAGACATTCCTGGAGAGTTGGAGTGTCTTACCTTTGCTCTGAAGGATGAAGAAGAGGCCTACCAGTTCCCACAGAAAATAGTACTAGGCAGCCCTCCCCAATTTCCTTGGCGTTCCAATTTTTACTGAGGAAGATAAAGGTAAGCAGAGAACATTCTTGCCAGCCAGCAGCATAACACAAGTGTGAACAGAGCAGGCAGGCAGCAAACCAACAGGCAACCAAGGATCATGAAGGCCACATGCAGTGTTGGTGTTGCTCAGCCTAACTATATACACGTCAGGGAAAATGGGACGATAACAGATTTAGAGAACACTGCTTCGTGTTTTTACAGAGATAAGGTTAAAAAGATGCGTATCTTGTTCAAGTTCATGATATGATTAAATACTAAAACTGACTAAGTCTTTTTAGAGTTTATCGGAAAAGGTATTGTCAAACTTAAATTTAAAAACTTCTGAAAGCAATCATTACTCCTCAGCTATT